ATAAGTATGTGGATGTACATGGGGTCTTGGTCAATTGGTTGCACTTCGCCATCGGAAAGCAGCCAGTGGCCATCCCTAGCCCACTTGTATCACTGTAATGGCGTGAGAGTGTATTCATTCATCCGTCGTTGACTCAGTCTGTAGGCCAGACCTCCGCAGGTGGTGACTGACGTCTCACATCATCTTCCAAATTTGTATAAACTTTGAAAGTAGTCAGTGGTCTCAGCATTTTCCTACAAAGGCCATATCCCCATGCATACATTAGAATCCTTCTCAAAGGGTCTTTCGCCAAAAGCATTGCTAACAAAAAATGTAAAAAAACAACAACAACAAAAAAAACCCCTCAAACCTTTAGGGTCTTTCTCCAAAAGCATTGCTTCGAGGTTTGAGAATTCTTTTTTTTTTTTTTCTTTTACATTTGTTATTAGCAATGCTAATAAAGACTCTTTGAGAGTAATTCTAATGTATGCGTGGGGATATGGCCTAGAGATCATCTGGCTTGATTCTATATCTTTAGGCTTGTGAGTATGTAAAACTATCCATGACACAAAGTTATCAAGTCTTTTTGTTTTGTTCTTTTTCCCCATTAAAGCAGTCGAGGAACAAAGACCACTGCTTTGAAGCATTTACTATTCTGATAGGTAATGTGCTCTTATAGTCACCTGAGGTTGTTTTTGTTCTTGTGTACTTCTATGAGGCTGATTAATTTTCAAAAGCACAGTACAGAGAAAGGATGCTCAATGTCATTAGTAACTAGGGACAAGTGAATTAAAATCACAATGAGATACAGTCTGCCTTCTGTATCTGTGGCCTCTGTACCTGCTGATTCAACCAACCCTGGATCAAAAATAATCCAAACAACAAAATACAAATGCAAAAATAGGGAATAACAACTATTTACATAGCATAATCTAGAAATGATTTGAAGTATATGGAATGATGTGCTTAGGTTATATGCAAATGCTATGCCATTATATACAAGGGACTTGAGCATCCTTGGATTTTGATATCTGTTGGGGGGGTGGAGTCTTGGAATAAATTCCCCAAGGATACCAAGAAACAACTACTACATGCCTATTAGAATGGTTAAAATTAAAGAGATTGATTTTACTGAATGTTGGTGAAGGTGTAGAAAAGCTGAAACTTCTATGCACTGCTGGTGGGAATGTAAAATGTCACAACCACTTTGGGAAACTATTAGCAGTTCTTTAAAAGTTAAACATGGCTGGGTGTGGTGGCTCACACCTGAAATCCCAGCACTTTGGGAGGGTGAGGCGGGTGGATTAAAAGGTCAAGAGTTCAAGATCAGCCTGGCCAGTATGGTGAAACCCTGTCTCTACTTAAAATACAAAAATTAGCCAGGCGTGGTGGTGGGTGCCTGTAGGCCCAGCTACGTGGGAGGCTGGGGCAGGAGAATCGCTTGAACCCGGGAAGCGGAGGTTGCAGTGAGCTGAGATCGCGCCAAAGCACTCCAGGGAGGCCGGGGCGGGGGCGGGCCAGGCCGGCGGGGGCGGGGCCAGCGGGGAGAGGTTGGGACCAAGTCAGCAGGCGGGGTGAGACGGGGTGGGACGGGGCCAGACCGGAGCTCCTTTGCTGTGCTGGGCTGCCCCGCCCCCTCCCGGGCTCCCAGCCTCTTTTTTTTTGGATACAGAGCCTCACTTTGTCGCCAGGCGCCAGGCGCCAGGCTGGAGTGCAGTGGCACAATCTCGGCTCACTGCAACCTCCACCTCCTGGGTTCAAGCAATTCTCCTGCCTCGGCCTCCTGAGTGGGACTACAGGGCGCGCCACCACGCCCAGCTAAATTTTTTTTTGTATTTTTGGTAGAGACGGGGTTTCACCATGTTGGTCAGGATGGTCTCGATCTCTTGACCTCATGATCCACCCGCCTCAGCCTCCCAAAGTGCTGGGATTACAGGCTTGAGCCACCGCGCCGGGCCTCCATCCTGTTTAAGAATGGAAGGTAGTCAAACAAATAGCCCAAACTTCTCAGCCTCCCATCCTTCCCATAAAATCTTTTAGATCCATCAGTTGTCACCTCCCTCAGTCTTCCGTCTTCTCCTTCTCTACAACCCCTCTCCCCAACTCAGCTTCTTTTTCTCTTCCTTCTTCCTCCTCTTCAGGCTAAATCATACTTAACTCTTTTCTTAAGCCAGTTCCTGTTCCTCATCCTTTTGTTTAAGAGGACATATACGTGTTTGTATTTTGGTATTATTGTGTGTTCTGTCTACATAGTAAAATTACTATCCAATCAGTTTCAAGTGATGGCTGCCGTAATCTTAATATTTAATTTCCCCCCTTTCCCCTCAATTTCAAAGCCATAGAGCACAGTGATTAATAACTCTGAGGCCCAGGAGCCACCAGGCTGGATCTGAATACCAGCTCTGCCACTTACTAATTGCATGACCTCAGGCAAGTTACTGAACCTTCAGTTCTGCCATCTGTAAACTAGAGATGCTAATAGTGTCTACATTCTATGATTGCTTGATGACTAGTAGGAGTACACTGTGTACTTTATTAGAACAGTGTCCGTGTACTTTATTAGAACAGTGTCCGGCCTAGAGTGACCACTCAGTAGTTGTTATTTGTTTCACTGCAAATAGAAACATTTGGCAAGAAGTGTTGAGACAGATAGAGCTGGAAAGGGCAATGGAGTGGACAGTGCTTGGTTAACCACATCAGAATCACTTGGAGGTAGCTCTAAAACTGCAGATTTCTGAGCCCACCTGTGAGATTCTGATGGAACTCAGGAACCTGGCTTTTTGCATCTGCTCCTCAGACTTGAATCGACAGTCAGGCTGGGGAACTATTGGCATAGAAGAAAATGCCCCGCATTTGGAGTAAGGAGATCCAGGACTCTGGTGGTGTTTCTGCCAGTGACCCAACTGCTGAAGTCATTTCTGTGGGGGAAGCTGGCTTACTGGGGTGAAAGGAACACAGGCTTTGCAGTAAGCTGGACCTGGCTGTGAGTTCCATTGTGGAGGCTGCTGCAGATGTTGCTAGTTGCCAGTTCTATGTCCAGCCCCCTTTTCCTAATGCATTTTGCTTGGTGTGTAACTGTGTCTAGCTTAAAATACTTCCTCCCAGACTTCCTTGCGGTTAGGGTGGCCATGGGACACAGTTCACTCAGCTGAGGAATTTCTGGGGAGGCTTATCTTTCCTTTTTTTTTTTTAAATCTTTTTTCTTTTGGAGACAGGATCTTGCTCTGTAACCCAGGCTGGAATGCATTGGCACAAATATGACTCACTGTAGCCTTAAACTTCTGGGCTCAAGTGATCCTCCTACCTCAGCCTCCTGAGTAGCTTGAGACTGCAGTTGCATACCACCACAACTGGCTAATTTTTTTTTTTTTTTTTTTTTTTTTTAGAGACAAGATCTCACCATGTTTCCCAGGCTGGTCTCAAACTCCTGGGCTCAAGCAATCTTCCTGCCTCGGCCTCCCAAAGTGCTGGGATTATAGGCATGAGCCACCATGCAGCCTATTTTCTTAATATAGACACTCATTCCTGTTTCTTTTTGCCCTATTGTCTTTCCCTTTTCTTACTGCCTGGAACATGGATGAAAGGTGTGGAGGAGCAGCAGCTGTCTTGTTCCTATGAGAGTACAAATCTGGGAGGGTTGCCTACAGGCTGAGTATGTCAGTGTGAGGAGATGAAAAGATTCCAGATCCCCAGTGGTGTCATCCAGCAGTGGCAGGCACCACCTCTGCACTGCCCACCCCAAATGTCTTATATATATGAGACAAATCTCTAAGTGTTTAAGGCGAAGTTGGTTTTTGTTGATTATTTGTAACCTAAAGCTTCTTAGGGAGAATTAAAAAAAAACAAAGATCCTATTACCATGTCTGACCCTGTGGACATTCATGTATCTGCTTCACCTTCTCCGGCTATGAGACATTTTCCGCATTTGTGCAGTGAGGCTTCTTCTAAATTCAATACCTTATTTTTAACTGATGATTAGGTAGACCAATTGGGCCCTTGGGGACTGGCCTTTGGAATAAAGGGTCCTTTATTTCAGGCCCTTCCCTGGGGGAGTTTGGGAAGGCAGTAGCACTAGTCTGTCACTCCCAAAATCCCACCAAGTGCCTCCACAGCATGGAGAACCTATAGCACCCTTACCTATGGAGACGTCTGCACCTCAGTAAAATCAGATGTTAAAATCTTAGGCCGGGCGCAGTGGCTCACACCTGTAATCCCAGCACTTTGGGAGGCCACGGCGGGTGGATCATGAGGCCAGGTGATGGAGACCATCCTGGCCAACATGGTGAAACCCTGTCTCTACTAAAAATACGAAAATTAGCCAGGTGTGGTGGTAGATGCCTGTAATCCCAGCTACTCAGGAGGCTGCGGCGGAGGACTGCTTGAACCCGGGAGGTAGAGGTTGCAGTGAGCCAAGAGTGCACCACTGCACTACAGCCTGGGCAACAGAG